TTTTTTTTTTTTTTTTTTTTTTTTTTCATATGATTTTACTTCTACCTTTTCTTCACTTCTCTTGGAATAGTACCATGCTCCTCCATTGCCATTGTCCTTGGCTACTTTTTATGTTTCTCTTTATGTTCCTTTTGACATTCATCCATTGAGCTTTGGTACAATCTTTTTTCTTCATAAGCACTAGTTAAAGCTGAAGTAATTTTTAAAGTTGCTACCATTCTATGCTCCTACCTTGTCCCTTTGCTTCATTGTTTGTAGTCCTGCACTTCATTTCTTTAATTTCTTCTTTTTTATTTCATGTAGTCTTTCTTTGATAAGTTAAGACTTTCTTTGTCTATTGACATTGTTCTATAACAACTATCTTTCATATTCCACTTACACCTCCTTTATAAAGTATATAATTTCCTTAAAACTATTCCTTAACTTATGGAAGAAAAAACTATACTTTTGATAATTGTTGGAATGGATTTTGTTGAAGAAGAGGTAGAAGTGTTCAAGTTTAGTGTTTACATAGATAAAGTAGAATTCTTAAGACTATATTGCAATGTGCATTTCCTTAAAATTTATAGTTTTGCAAAAAATATGTAGTTGATAATTATTGACTTATATTATTATTTTTTTAAGATTTATCTTCTAATTTGGAATTGGAACCATGATGGATTTTGCCTTCATGATCTCTTCAAATTTCAACAAGATATTATGGATAGTGGGCAAGAGAGCCCACATTCTTCTACTTAATACAATCCCACCTCTAATAGATTATGGAGGTGGTTTGGACCCAAATCCTTAACTAATGAGGAGTTATAACTTGTAGGAAGTGGAGTTAGAATTAGGATTTAAAGGGGGGCTGGGTGTGAAAAAATTAATTAAAATAGGATGTAAAAAGAAAAACCCCTATGACCCCACAACACATCACCCCACCATCTCTATCACCTACAAACCCTTTCTCAAACCACCTAAAAGAAAGTGTTTCCCTTTCATAAGTTATAAAACCAAACTTTCTAAAACTTAGAACTTATAACTTAGTTGCCTTAGAACAAAGGTCGTTTTGGCAAAAATCAATTACTTATTTTGGAGGAACTTATGGGAGGTAAGACTGTACACTACATGCCAAGGTAACAATGGAGGAGCCTTAGGTGGTTGATGAGGGGATAAGAAGTTGATGCTATCATCCAAGAAGGGCACCAGTCGACGGGCTGATTCTCCCGAACCACAAAATACTTGTCCTAGTATGAACCCTCATGTTTGAAGAGTCTACAGTGAGCACTCCCAGGCCCACAAATGCACCCCAAATATGGCTATGGTTCTCTCCAGACTCTGAACAAGTTTGGCCTTGCTCAAGTTCGGCATGATTGGTCCCAAAACCTTATTGTAATGTAAACTTGGTGGTATCCATGCCTTGAATGTAAGAAAGCAGAGCTATTTCTCAGAGGGAGTTGCTTTGACATCCTGATGCCCTTCCTAGAAACCTGTGATTGATCATAGTTGAAGAAACTTGAACAAATGAAGATTACATCTAGTGCCATAGGAAAGTGCAAGATGGAACACCTTTCGCCCTTGAGGTTGTGGTTTACAACCTCCTGAAGCCAGCTCCTGAAGAGTTCTCTGAGTTCTCTGAATTGTTGGAGTTCATTGTTGGCTTCCCCTCGACCTTTGTGGTCTGGATCGAGAACAGGTTTTTATTCGAAGTGAGGTATGAATCAGTTGGATACCGTTACTCTGACTCCGATCGGTTGCAATGCATCCCCTGGCCACGCATAAGCTGCGGTGGATATAAGCCAGACCCTGCTTGCCGCATTTCCTCTATCGAGGCACTTACTTAAGTGTCCATATCTGTGTGCCTACACTAATTGCATCTAGAGATATGAACGAGTTTTTCTCCTGGTCCATTTCCAACAGCTGTGAATCTGTTCGCATCAACTGAGTAAACTATTAGCTGGCCCACTGCTCAGTGGGCTAATCAGTAGCAATGAGCGAAACATAGAAACGGATGCACAGCATGATCAGTTTCACTGCATCTGCATCTCATGTTGAAACCTAATGCGCAAATTTGTTTAACAATTTTAAGGTAAATGAGTCCAGGGGGAAAAAATTCACTTTTAGTCTGGGGAATTCATGTACCTCTCATATGAAGGCGTCGGCGATTGAACTAGGTATTCATTTTTTGAGTATCAAACGCTACAGCTGCTGCGAAGGTCGAGCTACTGGTCTCCATCCTGTCTACATAAGGGAGTCCTGAAGGATGGGAGTTATTGGCAAAGAATCCTCAAGGTACAACTGCAGTCGATATGTTAAACGATATTGCAGTGTAGCTCCAGAAATGGAGTACAGAATTTTGGGATAATTGTCACGTTCTATGATCACCTTATGTAAACTGTATGAATACATGTACCATGAATGTACGTTACTAGTGCACAAATTGTACTACTTGGGCAGGAAAACAAAGTATTCTTGCTTACGTTGAGTCGGTACTTGATACCAGCATTGAAGCCTCGTCTTTCACTGAGTCGGGTGATTTCCTGGCATCACAGACAACGGCTTTGAATCAGATTGCTCAAGTGCCGCTCTTCTTAGAACTGACTAGAGGTGCGACGTGTACAAGAGAGGTGACTGACCTAGATTTGGCAAGCATCCGCGTGATGAATTTCCGCTTGATGTACACCCAATTCCCGTCTTCTTGTGCAGGTTCGAGTACCAGGTAGACGATGAAGGCGATGTAAAAAGTAGTGGCCGCTCTAAGACCACTGTCACCACGGTAGACTAGAGAAGGGCGCCGAAAATAGACACAAACAACAGGTACATGTTGATTGCCATTACCAACGGCGCAATGCTCCAAGCTATAACCTGCAATCAGTCGAGTGTACACGACATTAAGCCATGACTAACTGCAACAAGGAACATGGTCATAACTCATACGAGAACAGAATTTATTGCAAAAACAGAATCCAAGTCAGAGCAAAGGCACACCCTTAGCATCTACCAGTTGCGTGCGCAACTGCGTGATACAAAGAAGCAGTGATAATGCATAAAGGTTTATAGTAGAACTTAAGGTTTCCAGGCCATGGCGTACATTGGTAACTTTGCTAATAACAAAAACACCCATAACCCGTGTGTTGGACACTAAACACAGGAGCGGGATGAGAGCAAATGGCAGCTGAATGGATTGCAACACATTTAGTCATTCGCTCAGATTATCTAGTTCGTTCTCCGAGCTGTCGAAGGCAAGAGCCAAAATGATAGTTGGAACGATTGCGACAAGTCATGTAACCAGCACTCGACCCCATTTTTTCACACGCAGGTCGAGGAAGCCATCCATGACAAATTGCCCTGCAACAGAACAAGCGCCCATTAGATCCTGCCTGATCTGGACACCTCTAGTCTGCCTCTTCGTACAACATATTTCTCTGAAAGCCTCAAAGTATTTCTCTGTGCCTATCCCTTTATGAATTCTGTCGCGACTAAGACAATTCTGAGAATTCAATCTTCGTCATGAGTTACCCACTCGCATTCCTGAACTTTAGTAGGCTTCTTAGAAAAACCAAGTCATGTCAAAGACATACCAGTGTATGTGCCTGTCATCGTGCTGCTCTGACCAGCTGCTAACAATCCAATGGCCCATATATAAAAAATTGGGAAAAAGCCACCCCCATATCTCCGTTGAAGGTACTCCCCAGCATTTGCAAGACCAATAATTCCTGCTTCCTCTTTCCCATAGAAGGCCTTGGCAAAAATAGCCATGATGCAAAGGTTGATCAAGAAGGAAATGAAAAGAGCGACCGCCGATTCGATGTTGTAATACCGAAGAGCTTCGCGCACGCGGCTCTTCTTGGAGGTATCTATGTTCCGCGATTGGACTAGAGCAGAATGCAGAAATATGTTATGTGGCATGATGACAGCCCCAACGATCCCAACCACCTTGTCCACAGCTGTTCTGGGGACGGAAGGAAACACAAGACCTGGAAGGCTGCCACCAGATATTAAGCACGGTAACTTATATAATTTGTAATCACGACAGATCTTGCAAAATGGTCGAGTTGAAAAGAGAAGCTAGCGCACCAGAGGCAACAGCTTGGACGTCTGAGTTGGTTTCGCCGAACATCCAAGCAAATGAAACCTCCATGATTCCAATAAATACACAAAATAAGAGCTCCAATTTCCAAACGCCGAAATTCTCCAAAAAGAGGAACAAGAACCTGGAAATATTTACATTAAAAAACAGATATCAGTCTCTCATCAGAGTACCAAAGGCACGATTCAATTCCCGTCACACACATGCTCCAAAAAGGCTTGTAAACCTTGAGGATCGTCACCAAGTTTTTGGTTAAAAACGAATCGAACAGCAAGTCTGTGATCCCAATCACAACTCAAAGATGCAACGTGTGCCTCTAGAAAAAATTGGTATAAGATTAAGAACATGTGCATACCAGTCGATGCCAGTGATGAGCACACCAGCCCAGAGGGGTATCCAGCCATTTGATAGGAGCCGGAAGGCAATAGTACTTCCAATGACCTGCTGAACATCGGCGCCAATGATGGCAATCTCGGTCATGACCCAAAGAACCAAACGGGCCCATCCAGGATACTCCACTCTGCAGAGCTCTGCCAAATGGCTACCCGATGCAACTCCCAGCCTCGCAGCAAGCTTCTGGATAAGAAGGCCCATGATCGTAGCTCCTGGATAAGAGGGCGTGTCCCGTAGTCGCCCCCAACTGAAGGTCACTCTCGATGTTCCCCAGGTCAAGGTAAGCAATTCTCATCAAAAACCCATGTCGCTGGTTTTGCTCGGAGGGCCTTCGGCAATATTGACTCAGTGGTGGATTCCTGGATGAGTTCGACCGGTTTAGGGAAAATGATAACTTTCTTTGGATCGACCACCTCATATTCTAGCTCCACGGATCATTGGAGCAATAGTTAGATGTGCCACCGGGGTCAACTTTTAGTTGTAAATCGTTTATATAGCTTGAGGATCATATAGAAGCAGTTACAGATTGGAAAGAACCCAAGGCTTCTCCAACAGCATGGTCATGGATTCGAACGGTTTATGCGACCGCTGAAACGCATTCAATTTTGCAGCAGTTGGCTTCTATAGATCTGATCGTCCTATACATCTAAGACCTCATGTTTATGGCTTAAGAGACCATACTCTTGACGAAATCTTGCAAATTTGGAGCAGTGCATTTTGTGAAGAAAGGTTGCTGAATTCTTTAGTGAATGGAACCTCCGATAGCGACCGCTGGCAAGTTCCAATCTTGAGAACGTCAATGTTCAGGTAGTGTTGTATCCTTTAGAAAGCTCAGACGGGAAGGCCAGGTGACTGGAGGTCTCGGAGAAAAGTATATTTGGGTTGATTGTCTCTGCATCATGCAAGATGATGATGCCGACAAACTGAAGTTTTTCCTCAAATGGACTCGATCTTTGGATTTGCATCCGTCAAAAACGTTGCAGCTGGGGGAAAAGATGCAAATGCAGGTCTTCCCGGTATCAAACCAGGTTCACGAACCCGCGAACAAATACCTTTCACGGTCAGGGACGTGTTATTATGGCAAACACTGGGTCCAGAGGGGTCTGACCAGTCTTATGAATTTCTAGAAGAGAGGCTACCTTCCTATGTAGTAGAGTTTGAGTGGTACAGGCGAGGTTGGACTTTCCAAGAAATGCTTACCTCTGGGAGGGCATTGATATTCACCAAAGGAACAAAAGTACTGGCAGTGCCAGAAAGTCTCATGGCGTGAAGACGGCCATTGGGAGACCACTAAGGCTCCAACTATTTATCGTCACTGCTTTTCTAGTACAGAACTCCGCCATCCTTGGACTTCAGATGTGAAAACCATTGTTTTTTGAAGGATGTGAGGTCAAGTAAGCCACTGGAGTTGCAGGAACAGCTCCTGCGACAATTGGCTTGAAATGACCTAGAGATCAGTAGTACCGGGATTTCCTACGGAGGTTTGATGCCTTGAGGTGTGTAAGAGTTCTCCTCGATGTTGACGACATAGACGATGTAGGCCAGTTCGAGAATCTGGTTCCAGCCATCGAAATGCTTGGGTCTGGCAGTCGAATGGTGATTACATCACGGAATCGAGAAGCATTGACACTTGCAACGAGACCAGCAGTCTGCAAGGACGTGTACGAAGTAAAGATGCTCAACTGCAGTGGTTCCAGAGACCTTTTCAACTGGCATGCATTCTTGAGCGAGACTCCAAGCGAATGCTTTAGTGATTCAGCGGCAGCAGTTGCAGACGCTTGTGGTGGACATCCACTGGCGCTGAAACTGATGGGGTGTATGTTGTCCAATATTCTAGACCCTGGCGAAAGAGAAATTGGGAAGGAGGCAATTTGAAAGAGAATAAAACTCTTTCTGACAAACTGCTCATCAGCTACGATTGTCTAGGAGATCGAAAAAAAGCGATTTTCCGAGAAAAAGCCTACCTGATGGAAGGCTTGCTTGAGGACGTAGCTGTGGCCATTTGGAGGTCATGCGAGCGATGCAGCCCTAGTTATTGCTCTACTTCCTAATTCCGTGGTTCATCCTTGCACGAGCTGGAGGACAGGTCATTAGTGAAAGTGGAATTTGGCAGGTTAAGTATGCATGATTTGCTTCGTGACATGGGGAGAAATATTGTTAGACGCAAGACACGAAGTCCGAGGAGACAACGCGCTTGTGGGATTCTATTAGTCTCAAAGATACTGAAAAAAAACAAGGTGTGTTTGTGCAATCGATTAATGATCGTCATTCTTGATGGACTGTTTCCAATGCCTTGCCCATTTTTAGGAGGTTTGTGTGATGCGAAGTTTGGTTTGTTTTGTTGCATTGTTCATATAGTACCATCAATCTATGCTAGCTGGGTCCTTTCTTGCACGCAAACAACCTTAGGGCTGCGTATTTACAAGGGCTTGGGATGCTGGAAGTTCATTAAAATATTGGTGCTTGCACAACATTGTTTGAAAGACTTGATGGATTGCAACGATGGCATATTTCTTAATTCCACAAGCTCTGCAATTTGGCATTTGCGTTGTAGCATAGCTGGTTATGAAGTTGCAATAAGGTTTTTTTAGAAAAGAATGCTGGTTATGGCTGCCATTGATTTGCATTGGTGAATATCGTACCATGTACATGGCGCAAAATGTGTTCAAGGCATCAATCTCTCTGGAAGCAGAAGTATTGATGTGCCATGTGAAGCTTCGAAATTTGCGGGCATGGAAGAATTGCACATTCTGGTACTATACGCTTTCAATATAGAGCTAGATGACTTATCGAAGTGGCCCCAATGGCGCCAAGAACTTAGGTGGCTCTGATGGGAGTCGCTCCATTGTAAAAACTTACCTTCGGACTTGAAGCTTCTTTAATTGACTATGCTGGATCTTAGCCATAACTACAAGTTAACTCGCCTTTGACAAGATGATGCTAATATCCAGGTAAATGCAGCTATAGAGTTAAGCTGGAACAATGTCAATGGGGATAATATGATGGTAGTAATCACTGTATTCATTAAGACTAATTGTAAAAGTACATGTTATTAGCTTGCAAGCCAGATGGTTAATAGATATAGAGATTATTTTTGGACTTATATCCATGATATTGAAGGCGGGGAAGGAAAAGAAAGAAGGGCGGAAGGACGAGTGGCGCAAGCGGAGGGGACCCGGACGGACCCGGGCGGGGACCGGCGTGGCACAGGCTAAAAACGCGTCTGCAAAAGCGTACATTGATTGGATCTAGCCTTCCTCCCCACTTGGCATGTGACCATGTTGATTCTGTTTTTAGGCCAAGTGTAATGCAAGGATCCCACTTGGAGGACAGTCGGCAGGATCCGTATCGGCTGACTCATGGCTGTCTATCATGAAATTGTCTGTACACTACCATTTTATTGCAAAAATGTCTGTAGCTTCTGATAGAATCGTCAATGAACAGGATTTGCCATGAATTATGCATTTTCACTACTTCAGGTGACCACTGAGTCCCATTTGCTCCATTCTCAAAGCAGGCTTACGGTCCGTTCGCACTTTGGGATTGGAGCGGTCAGTGGTGTCAGTATGGTGAATGTAGTCTTTCTCATTTGCCAATAGACCTTTTTAACTTTGTCCTCGGCTCTCCTTCGTTGAACCTCTGCCGTGGTGGTGGGGTCGTGTGAGCCAAAACTTGTTGCCGCAGCTCTTGTGCGGCAGAGTTGGGGCATCGCAATGAAAGAGATACTCAGATATTTCTTGTTTGAAACTTGCAAGTAAGCTCTCTACCGACAATTCCAACAACGCTATTATTGATGTTTCATGCTGAGGCTTCACTGGAATGTTATGCAAGAGGCTGGTTTACTGGCGCAAATGTGGATATAAATTCAGACACCTTATTCTTCGCAATCCATGTCGTTCAACAGATTGTAAAACGTTGAGGTGACCGCTGATCTCTTCCGTTGGAAGCATTTGTATGGGTGGTTTTCCTTGCCGACAGTCGGGGATTTGGGAGGCAGAACTTGACGGGAAGCTCCTTTGGAAGGGTTGAAAACGATCGAAACTTCTTGTTAAGATGGTAAACTTTTCATTGCAGATGATTTTGCATGTTGCTTTTTGCAATTGCTGTCATTTGCCTCAGTCGGGCATACTTAAGGGCGTCATGTTTGGGTATGGATATGCTATCTCTTATGTCTGCTGGATGAAGGCGGGTCACGAAGTATACTTTGTATGCATTATTATTATGTGCAGACCATATTAGGGATGCAGTTTTCGAAGGCTTCAAGCTGAACAGGCCTTCATTCGAGATGGCGAACGCAATGTCTGAGAGTATGGGAGATGAGCGATTCATCGTCAACGTGAGTGCTGGATTGGCTCTCTATGGTGTAGTAGTTGGTCGAGATGATCAAAAACTTGAAAAACCCAGAAGGCAGGTCCTTCGTATGCCTGCTGACTGCAAACTGAAGGCCCCATGTCAGGAATATATTGTTCGAAGCGGACTAGTTACCGATTTTTCAACAAGTGATCGGTTCTTTGAGACTGTGAGCGTGTCTGGCTGGAGTGTTGCTCTTAAAGTGGCTGCGCTGGGTGATTTGGGCTTTCTTGCTGGAGGTGAGATTGGTGTGAATGGAGCAGCCCAAAAGCTATCAAAGCTTGGAGAGATTTCCAGAGGGTTTAGGAAGGAGGTGTGGAAAATGGAATGTCATTACGTTCCTCGAGCTTCCTTTCGGATTCATAACTCACAGATGTGTCTTAGCGAAGAGGCTTTAGAAGACGTTCGTCATTTACGGACACTGGGACAAGCAAAAGCGTTTCTTCACACTTACGGATCCCATGTTCCTGATCGTGAGTATCATGTTGGAGGGATTTTGCTGCGTGGTGCGGGTGTAAGGTCAAGTGGTGGTACTGAGCTTTCGACCCTCATCGAAACTGCAAGCCGACAGCTGCCTAGGATTACGGCCAGCATTTTTATGTCTCAGGTGGGTGGAGCCAAAGCAAGTGGTAGTGCCGAAAAGTTGCAAGCAAGCACAACATGGCGCAAGGATGAGTTTTCTGACCTGTATATGAGAGAGTACGTCAGAGCCTTGGGCCCCTCTACTGCTGATGATGATGAATTTGTGCAAAAGCTCGCTTCAGATAGATCCAACTGGTTCATCATCGACATCAATGAAGATGCAGTCCTTCTACCAATCTGGGATATCGTGGGAAAGGAAGCCAAGGGCCGCGACCTTCAAAGTCAGATGAAACTTCTCCACACAGCTTGGCAAATATCATGCTCACTTGGTTTGTATTGCGATTCGAAGATTTCGCCCGAGTTGATAGATGAATTAAAATGCACGAAGAAAGAACAGTTGCTTCAGCAGATGCAATGTTGCGTGCTTGCGGAGTTGTACGGGGATGAGGCTTCTGTTCCTGAGGCGCATTCGCTGCAGCCACTCGATATTGCGAAAAAACTACGTAAAATACACCTTTCAGCAACCTCCAGCGATGTTTTTAAGAAAGTGGAGCACAATGTTGGAGCACTGCTGTTTAATGTTCCAGCGTTTGAAGAACTGGTGACTTATGTTGCACAGTCAACTGTGGAAGGCATGCACACAGCAAAGCGAGTGTTAGGAACGATTCTAAGTACAGATTTACAGCAGGCGCTGAAAGAGGAAGGGATTACTTTGTCTAGGACAATCCGGGAAATGCTTGAATTGCAAGACAAGCACGAAGAATTTTCCCCCTTGGAAGTGGCAGTACCACCTGCTGATCTGCCTCGCAAGCTTAAAGGCATTGTTGAAAATTTTCTATCATCGCCGGAAGACACATCTTATCATGCACCTTTCAGTGAAGCTGTAGAAAAGGTCATCAAAGCGTGCATAAGTAAATATCGTTGTGAGAAAGTCGAAAAGGTGGTCAAGAGCTATGGCTTCAATGGGCAAGGGATTTTCACAGGTCATTCCTTGACAAAGCGGCATGTCAAGGCTATGATTGAAGATCTCGTTGAGAGTCTCCAACAACAACCAAACCAGCCGGTGCAATTGCCCACTCCAGGTACCGCTTCACTCTAGACTGACTTTGAAAATATTGCACGAAAACTTGTGAGTACTGAATAGTTTGTGAATACTGAGTATGCGATGTTGAGTGTTGTCCAATTGCTGAATCCAAACAAGAGAGTATGGATATTGATTACATTATTTTGTGATACTATGTTATCGGTTTACATAATTGACTGCAATGTGATTTGTTCAAACATAATTTAGAGGTAATTGGAACAATTTGTGTAATAGTATCTGAAAAGACACATTAAATGAAATGGCAGCAGAACCGATACATAATAATAGAATCAAGAATCAAGGTTCGTTTAGCAAACTCCATTTGAAGTTCCTATGTGAGACTGAAAAGTGGTTTTGAATTACTATTGCAGGTCTTAAACACTCAGAGGCACCTTACCTATGGCCCTCCAAAAGTTGTTACTCATATAATGGCGATATAGTTGTTGACCGGTCTTTAGAGAGAAACGATGTTCATGAAAAAATGATTGATTGTATAAGACACAGGGTTGATCCATTCTCTCCTCCCGTTACAATTGTAGAAGGTGCCTTTGATTTTTCAGGCAATTGGGGTGAAGACGATGCTGGATTTGGTGAAGATAGCTCCGGCTTTGACACCTCTCAATCTGGCATTTCATCTCCCTTCCTCTTGTTGGTGCAAATCATGAGGAAATCAGATCTAACTTTTCAAATGGCTTTGAACAAGCTGTTGCTGGAACAGAGGATTGCGGGCTTCGGCGGTGTATGCTTACTCTGATTTCCCAAAATGCATCTTCTTATTCACCTCCTACGATGATAACGCTATAATGGAGTTGAAGGACGGGGCGATATGGTGTAGGGCAGAGTTGAATTTCATCTCTCAGCTGATGTGAGTCTTTTTTCTATCATTTAGTTTGCAACCCATTCTTTTTACTCTGTTTTACAGTAATTATATTGGAGATTATGCTATGCTGACTCTGAAGCTGTTCATTTTCGAAGTGGTTTTCAAATTTTCTTTTCCTTCTCGTTCCTCTTATTTAATTTTTCATTTTTATCAAATGATCTGTGTCTCAATCCAGGACGTAAAGAATAACCAGAACATATAAATATCCAATTTTTTTTTGACAAGATCACATAATTTTGAATTATAACTTAGGACATTGAATTTTTCCACTAGCAATTTTTCCACTTACATATATACAATTCAGCTGAAGGAGAAAGACGGATGTTGTAACATGGCAAAATATTGCTAAGTTGATACAAAAATTATTTCACATAAAATATTCTGTTGTAAATCCCTCTATTTAAAAATCTTTGTTTGCCATATGACCTTGACTCTTTGGAGAAAAAAATTACATGTATAATAAAATATAATTGAGTGAAGAAGTTACATGTTTAGATGATAAGGGTACAAAATCATGGACGAAACATATCAATTGTTGATGCTCTTGCTACACTAAAGTTTTTGGGTCACCAATTTTGCTAGAGCTCGAAAAAGGAAAAAAGAAAAAAAAACAAAGGGAAGGTTGGCTTCCTTCTCCAATCCAAGGGATTTATTTCAGCTGGGTATTTGGGAAGCAAAATGATCTAAATAATGGTTCTTTTTTTGGTGGAATGTGTGGCATTTTGAAATGAAGATACTTTTGTGTAATAAAAAATATGAAATATTTAAAAATCGGATGAAAAAATCAAATTTCATTTTACAAAAGACTACTTGAAGTTGCTAGATTTGGCTGGATGTGGTAATAAAAATAGATGATTAGTGATTTTATGTCCAAAAACAAACATGAATTTGCAAATACCTGACTGCAACAAATTCTTTACAGTACCAGCAGAGAATTTGCAAAATATGAAGGAAACTAAAATAATATTTAATTTTTTAAAAAAAAATACTGGATTTGGATGTTATGTAGCTTCTCTATTGTACAAGCGATGGTGGAAATGCTTTCCCTTTCCAAATGAGTTGAAGGGTTTCGATGATATTTGACTTATACTTCTATGTTGGAAATTGAACTTGAGACCTGTCGTAGCATTAACATAAGTGCACCTGCAATCACTATTTATTGTAATTAAAGAAAAACTAACTCCAACTTCAATGGAGGAATAATGAGCTTTTGTTAGCAAGTAAAAGAAAAGGTGAAGTGGAAGTAGAGAACTTTGGTTCACAAATGGAGAGATATTGACTTATTGGAAAAATACAATGAAAAGGCGAATGGTGAATTCACATAATGATATATATTCAACTTCTTCTCCAATTGGTTGTTTTTATTGATAGTTTACCATGCCTTCCTCGACCATTCATGTTTATATTTTAAGGATTGGAATTGAGGCTAGGTCAATAATATCTGCTTTTACCTTATTCAATGGTGGAGAGGGATGTCATTTGTGTGCATACAATAAAAGGTAAATTAAACATTCAACAAAGGAAAATTACTTTACGTTGACAATAATTCATCATTTATGTTTTGCCTTACTTCTATTATTTCTTATAATTGGCTGTAGGTGTCTTTTTTCCATTCTTCTCAATTCCACTCAATTGTCGTCGTAAGTTTTGCTTCCTTGTTTTGCTTGTATGTTGAATCTTCAACAATTTTGAACTAAAATATTCAACCATTTGTTCTAATCTTTAAGGACCTTTGATTCCTACTAAATAATATTATGGTCCATACAAGAATTTTTTTTGAGTATTCATAATCATTAAATTCACATTTTATAGGTTTCTTGGGCTTTATCTAATGAACCAAGGCAACAATAGACAAAACTTGAAACATTATAAAACACTAAATAATTCCTTTTCTAACACTTGAATTTTCTATTTTTTTCAAAAGATTAAAATAAACTCTAATTGATTTCAATTTATAAAAAAATGTTTTCATTAGAAGAGAATCCTTTAGTAGGTGATGTTTCTACATTGGTTATAATACAATTTTTTTTTCCAAATTTGGATAAATTGTATTAAATTTAGCATAGAAATATGCTAAAATAAATAATTTTAATATAAACAAAGTCACTTTCTTCATTTTTTGTTTTATTTTAAGGTTAGATAGTTTCACTTTGTGGAGCTTGATAGAATTAAATTCCAAAGTTGTATAGGCATAATTAAACAATGCGCTCATTTAAGTGCAAAAATTGCTGTCACGGACATACATATAATTACCTATATGAATAGATAAAAGTATGTAAAAGTAGGTTAATTGTGTAATATCTTCTAGAGAAGCTTCTTAGAAGCTTTATAGACGCTGCTTTGACTTTATAGGAGTCTATAGTTGACTTTTAGGTTAGAAACTTGGTCAACAAGTTAGCCATGTGCCACGCATGTTGGAAGCTTAAAGAACAAGCTAACTATGTGGTCCATCCATAGAAAACTTGCCTTGCAAGCAAAGGCATGTGGCCTAGAAAGTCAACATATATTGGAGGTCTTATAGAACATCGCCACGTGGCTTCTAGTTAGATAGTATATATAGAGGCAAGAGTGAAGCCCTCTTCACTCTTGTCAACTCCTTTCTTACTTCTAGTCTAGTTTCAAGGGTCTCTAGTTTTCTTGTATTTTGGCAATAGTCATTCCAGTTTCTTTCTTAATATACATATTTCTATTTTGTCCTATTTCTTTTTGAGAAAAGTCTCACTTACTCTTTAGCTTTCATCGAGTTCTTGTCCCTGACAGATTGACAAGAGTACACTTACAATATCAGAGCTTTGTCTTTTCTTGATTAAGAGTGGATTACCCCTTTTTCTTGATAAGACATAAGCGCATTAGAAGTTGCGGATTACCCTCTTTTAAACTGATATTGTTCTTAGTATTTTCTTTGTTATCAATTCCTCTCTTCTATTTGTTTTGAGCGTTGTTAGACATCTTCTCTTTTCTAAGTGCTACTATGGCAGAGCTTGTTGAAATGAAGAGTGCAATGGCACAGATGCAAGAACAATTGAGGGAGTTAATGCTTGCGATGCATCAACTCAATTTACCACCACAAGGAGCAACAAGAATGGTAGGAAGTGAAGATATAGAGATGATTGGGGCTGCTTCAACATCTGCACCAAACCATGTCCCTTCTCCCAGAATGGAACACCCTTCGAGTGTTAGAGAACCGAGAGTTGCCTTGCCTGAGAAGTTTGATGGTACCAGATCCAAGTTTCGAGGATTCATCAATCAGGTCCAACTAGTGATTGAACTTCAACCCCAGAGCTATCCAACTCCAGGGTCACAAGTAAGATTCATTGGTACACTTCTTTCAGGTTCAGCATTGTCATGGTTTTCATCTTTTCTTGAACGACGAGATCCAATATTGGATAATCTGGAGGCTTTTTTGGCGGAGTTTCGTTCCATGTTTGGAGAACATGATGCAATTCGTGTTGCAACCAACAAGATCCGTATTTTGCGACAAGGCAATCGATCAGTAACATTATATGCTTCGCAATTTCGACAACTTGCAACTGATATCAAGTGGGATGATGCCGCACTTGTGAGTCAATTTCTCTACGGATTACAATATGAGGTAAAGAAATTGATGCTTAATTTACCTGATCCTCAAACATTGAGTCAAGCAATTGACTTTGCTGTGAAGTGCGACAATCGACTTTTTGAATTTCGATCCGAGAGTCGCACAAGTGGGCCTCAACGTTACTACAATTCAATGGCAACACCGACGTCTCCTCAACACATACCTTCGGAAGTAGAGGATATGCAAATTGATGCGGTACGTTTCAAACCTCTTACTGAGCAAGAAAAGTCTCGTCGTCGACAAGAAGGATTGTGCTTATATTGTGGAGAACCTAAGCACACTGCTCAACATTGTCCAAAGAAGCGACGTAACTACAAAATGAGGAGTACGGCTGTCAAAGAAGACAGTATGTCGGAAAACGAGTACGTCCAGCTACAATAGGGACCGTGCGGCTGGAATCTTGTACAACTTCTAATAAAGGTCCTATCCTCTCCTCAAAACCATCTCCTTGTTTTATAATAGATGTGCGTTTAGGACCTAATAATTACAAAGCCTCTGCCTTGGTAGATTCAGGAGCCTCATCTTGTTTTTTAGATGAAGAATTTGCTAGATGTCATAGAATATCATTAATACAAAAAATTAAACCTGTACACGTAGAAGTCATAGATGGTCGTCCGTTGTCTTCTGGAGATGTAACTCACGAAACACTTCCTGTAGATGTAGTAATAAATGGTCATAGTAGTTGCGTAATTTTTAATATAATTAGATCTCCCTCTAATCCAGTAATTTTAGGCTTATCATGGTTAGAAAAGTATAATCCTCGAATAGATTGGATTTCTCGTAAACTTGATTTTCCTCAGAGCATTAGTAACAGTTCTATTAACCAAGTAAAAAACCATGAGTCTAGTATAGTAAAACTCACACCTATAGGTGCAAAAGCATTTATACACGCAGCAAAAGAAGGATCAACTTTTGCTATTTATGCTGCACCTATTTCTGAAAGCGTAAAGACTTCAAGTGGCATTCCAAGTCAATATCAGGATTATCAAGACGTTTTTGAGAAAAAGAATGCAGATATTCTTCCTGAGCATCGCCCATACGATTGTTCAATCGATCTCAAGGAAGGAACTCAGCCACCATTTGGACCAATTTACAGTTTATCGCAAGATGAGTTGGCTGAACTCAAGACATATATTGACGAGAATTTAGCGAAGAATTTCATACGCCATTCAAAATCTCCAGCAGGAGCTCCAATTTTATTCGTAAAGAAAAAAGATGGATCTTTACGAATGTGTGTTGACTATCGAGGACTCAACAAGATCACAATCAAGAACAGGTATCCATTACCTTTGATATCAGGACTCCTTGACCAGTTAAATCAAGCTAAGATCTATACAAAAATAGATCTAAGAGGAGCATATAATCTAGTACGGATCAAAGAAGGAGATGAATGGAAGACTGCGTTTCGAACCAGGTACAGGCATTTTGAATATAATGTCATGCCTTTTGGACTCACGAATGCACCAGCTACTTTTCAACATCTCATGAATGATGTA